AATGCGTGTTATTGTGTGTAAGGGGTGAGGATAGGCCAAGGAAGATGAAGGTGAGATCGCGTGCGGTCCGTGGCCTGTTTGTTAGGGTACTGCTCCAGCATTCGCCTGGTGTTGATCGGAGAAACCACCGATCAAAGCAGCCGGCCGCTAGAATTCACCTCCAGACAGCGACTGAATTCGACCTAGTAACAAGCTAATGTCGAAAATCCTGCCACCATCGGGTCTTGAACCTAGGACCTCCCAGACAGAGGGGCTGCAGGACCCTATATTTAATTGTTAAAGAATAGTAAATAATATAATAAGATAAGTAAATAATGTCCTTTCGTGCCAGTACGGTATTTCTACTCTTTGAAATCGATGTTTGAGGTACGAGGTTATCCAATCAAGGGCGAAACCATGCATTTCATAAGGTAATTTTGATAGGAAGATGTTATGATCAACAACGTCAAAAGCTTTCAAAAAAACTAAAAGTATTCCAATGGATGCTTCATTTTGGTCCATAGATGAAGCAACATTTTGAAGAAAAGAAAAAAATGGCAATTTCCTTTCGATGGACTTGATGGAGAATATTGCACTCTATCGTGTTATTAAATTAAACATGGATGTCGAACGTTTGCAAGCACATCAATAAATAAAAGTGTTGTCTTGAATCAAAAAAAATATTTATACTTAAACCAGTTTAAATATATACATACTTGTATTTGAAACCAGAGAACACCTTTTATTTATTTAATTATTAGAAGGTATCTGCCTCACCAGCGATCTTATTTATTTGCGAGCAAAATAGAATACTGGGAAATCTTCCAAAAAAAACAAAACAACTGAAAGCCAATTGTTCTGGAAGCCAAGTCAATATGTTTTGTAGAACTCTCAATCAGACATAATACCTCTGGTGTATTGCTCTAAGTACTTAGGAGTTCTCTTATATTCAAACCTCAGCCGGGATTAGCATGTGCTGCAAAAACGTGAACATTTCACCGGCCAAATGCAAAAGTATTAGCCTACACATGTTCTATTCGCCCTATATTGGACTACGGTGTCGCTTGCTGGGGCCCTTACAGAAAGATGCTCTTAGTGTAGTGAAGTGCGAAACGACAATAAGATATGACGTACCCATAATTGACGCAATAGCTTTTTTTACTGTGCTTTGCATGTTTTATTTTTATTGATAACTGATTTTATGTGATTACTTAACTTTAATAGTAATATTATTATTGTTTTTGTTATTATTATTGTTATTGTTATTATTATTGTTGTTGTTGTTATTATTATTGTTATTATTATAATTGTATTATTATAATTATTATTGTTGCATTATTTTGTATTATTATTATGAAATTCAGCCACCATTTTTTGCTAACTATTTGCAGAATAAATGTATCTATCTAATTTTACCTGGGGTTATTGAGTGCTTTGATGTAGCGTATTTTTGCACTTATGGTTTTATAGAATTGGTTGCAATTTACTCTGCCTCAGTTAAAGTAGGGGGTTGGGTCACGTTGCGGTGCAATATGTGTTGAAATACCCAATTAGTAAGATGTCGTAGGAAAGTTGAATAAGGTTTCTAAAATTGATATTCTTTATTTTCAAAGTTGGGGTAATATATACAATTGGCTACAATTGTACAAAATACGCTGTTATTTATTACAGTAGGAACGGCTATCGCTACAATTCCGCGTGTTTATTAAGTAATTTTGGTGGAGTATTTGATTTGTTCAGTTTGCAGCGAGACACCGTCAAGTGCAGTTGTGGTAAAGAGCGTCGGTCTTGTATTCCCGAGTGAAAGTGTTGGAGGTTACAACTGAAAAGTGAAGTGTTTATTACATTCACAGTATCCTATTGTCAAAATAAACCTACTGGGAGATAGCTGCTGAGGCGACTAATAACATATCATGTATACTTGTGACTACGGCAACATTGCGGGCTGGAGCAGCGACGGAGGCATCGCCCTGGCCCGTTACGCAACAGCAACAAAGCGCGTGATGTGAAAATGAAATGCATTGGGGAAAAGGGACGCTAAAATTTAAAAAAGCATTTCAAGTAAGGAATATATTCTTTTTACTTTCATAATTATCTTGTGTTGACAATATTTATCAGAATTTTGAAAGCAAAGCTTAACTCTTTTATATTTCTTATCGAAAAATCTTTTTGAAGTTTCTCGAGATATGGACATTACATAAAAAGATATTGAATCTTTTATTTCCTCATGGTCTTGGGACGAGTTTTGTAGACATTTCTTTTAGCTGCTTACTAGAAAAAGAAATGAGGAGGCGTGATCTTGGCGGCCACAGCCCGGTCGAAATTATGCTGTTTCCGAACACGAACATTTGTTCCACATCATCCGTGTTCTTATTATTTGCTCCATACACATGTTCCCCCAAAATACACGTTCTTCCAGTGCCAGCATTCTAACAGTTATACTGACTCACAACAAACAACTTTTACATAGTCAAACTGAATGTGTCACTCAGATACGAAGAATCTCGTATTTTTATTTCAACTCTTCTCTCAAAGGCCGTCGCTCTGATGAAGGCCGCGATGTTGCTGTTTCCGCATACAGGATGGGGGAGTGCGGAGACGGCCACTGCGGAGAGACTTTTTGAACCTTCTGTAGAATCACAAGAGGGACTAACTGTCAAAGACTATATTAGTAAAGTTGTCACGATAATGAATGCTAATGACATATGATTCATGATTCGTATCGCTAACAACAGAATATGTACATTCTTTGGCAATAACGAGATTGCTGATAAATTCGTTAGTAATGTTTAGCGTCATGTTACTTAGTAATTGTGTTTAAGAGTGGATAGTTTGAATTATTATTGTTTAGAATCATTGCATGGTTTAGATTTTGGGAATTTGAGATGAGTAAAATTATTGATCGAATTAGTTTGTTTGGGAAGTCTGAAAGCGACTGAGAGGAGGGAGGGGGTGTAGAGGTATGGTGATATGCATTTATATTATTCCTAGCTTGTAGTGGAATTTTGTATCACTTATTTCCTTGTAATATGTGCGTGAATGGTCTCTGTGTATGCTTTATGTTTTCCGTTGCGGCTGATGCACACTCAACCTTCGTTCTTGCGGGCACATGTAAATGGCACTGTTTAATGGTTACCTGCGCAAAATGAGCAGTGAATATTGAATAAAGTTATTATTATTGTGACCACAGTGTAGGCACCTGTGATACTATATTGGACCTTGAGGTTTTCTTCTTATTTTGCAATGATTGTGATTGAAAATTGTTTATTGTTTGTGTTGATTCAATGGGTTCTGCGCCACTAAATTTACTGCTACAACAGGGATTGGTTTATTGTCCTTGTTCAACCATGTGACTTTTATTATTGAAGGGTGTTGTGATTGTATGTCTTCTTTTACATCGACATTGAAAATTGTTGGAATATATTTTAAAAAAGACTGATAATTTATTATTAACGGGATTCTTATAGGCGTGAAAGCGTCTTTGTGATTGCATTAAGTATTTTAAAATATTGTAACGTATTAGCCAGCGTGCCTCATGGCATCTATTTGGGGACGCTTGGAAGAGGATTAGCCTCGCCACAGGAAGAAGGGTTTTTCCGTAAAGAGAAGAACGCGGAAACGGGAGACACAAGGCTTTGGGAGTATCCGGCCTATAGAAACTTTTCACTGTTATAACAAGCGAGGGGGTGGCGTGACGTAGTAGGTCACGTGGGCCTCGCCTATATAACAGAGTGTACAGAGCCAGTGGGTAGGTTCTGGAGACAGCGGGAGAACCTCGTGCGTGTGCACAAAACTTGGCGCCACGACGGTGCATATGCGAGCCCGGCTCGCGAGGCTCGAGTCACTAGTTGACGAAGCCTGCGGACTTTACGTCCTTGGGTGACTGCGGTCACGGGGGAGCGATGCTGTGTGCGTGCTCCGAGGTGAAGAGTGGTTGAGTGCCACGATTCACGCCGATTCTCAATCGGATAAGATCGCTCCTGCGATCGAGGCAAACCAGCCGTTGGTGCGCTAGAACGGACTTTGTGTCCCAGCGTGACATCCGGTCACGGAAGCTAGGCTTTGTGCGCGCTTCAAAAGTAGGAGTGGCGAATGCCACAATCTAATCATCTTCAATCGGGTTTGGATCGCTCCCGCAATCAGGGGATAGTAGGTCTATCAGAGCTAGGGTGTAAGTAGGATATTAAGTGTATATATTTGTTTTGTTTTCTTTGTTAATAAATATATTGTTGTACGAAAGCTCTGTGTCTGTGGTCGCTGTGAGTATCCATGACGTCACAATATGTATGTTGCAGAGCCTGAGTTTATTTTAATTGTATTTTTTTGTCGTCGGTTACGAAATTGTTGCTAACTTTAGTTTGGAGTTCAGTTATGAAGTTGCTGACGTTAGGGTTATTACCTACATGAATGAGTGGAATTCGCTGGGATTATTTGGTCGTTGCACTTTTCCTTGAGATATGAAAACTTATTGCTCGCACCTAGTCTTCAGACCACCAATTTCTCCGAATCTATTTTGTAGGGGCACTTTCTATACATAAGCAGCGGACGATTTTGAAATTTCACTTGAATATTTACTTGAGCGAAGCGTTTTTGTGTTTTCGGTTTCACTTTCACTGTCACTGTCACTGGCTGACCTTTTGTTTTGTTGGTGAGGAGTGGGAGGTACAGCTCCGAAGAACGAGTTGCGTTGAATGAAGGCTAGGTTACTGCGTGGCGCGGTGGAACTGGCGTGGCTGCGTTGCTAGTGCCCATTGCCACGGTGGTTTCCCAAGAAGCCTCAACACCGGTTGCCATTCTCCGTTGATGTTGTCTGCATAGTGAAGTGTGTGAAGGCCTCCAATAATTGTCTGCCCTGTGAATAAGTGGATGGCATATGTCATAAAATTTTGCTTTTATTTGTTATTTAATATCGCATGAACAACTAGGTCATTAGCAACCACAACATTTCTCTTGTTTGTTTGTAAAGACACTAGGTGTAATTGCAACATTATAGCAGTGAAGACTACAGCACGCTGTCGGGTATGTGGAGTGCTCGTGAGCAGATCCGCCCCGCTCGGCTTCTCGAGCTGGAATCAAATGATGAGTCAACCGCTGCAGCACAGATCATCGAATTAGAGAGGACAAAACTCGTTGGTATCTGTCTGTTGCTACATTCCCTTCATTGTACTTTTAAACTTTATTACACGTCCTACATTCTGTTAAACAAAGAACCAAAAGTTAATTATGAAGGTTTCTCTTAGTTCATGTTTGACAACACAGATTATAATATGAACACGTTGGATGATCTTAATGTGTTCCATGACAAGAGAGGAATGTTGTCAAAAATCTCCAAATTACGATCGAGGTTCTCCTGTGACAAAGTTCTCGTAAGCAATGCGTGTAATTTGCGGTCCAGATTAATACTTACTGCTTTCAGCTGCATTGGATATATAGATAGTTTCAAGGAAAATTTCATAACTTTCAGAATTTTTCTGTCACATCATAAATTTAGTTATATTCTTCTCCACACACAGAAAGCAGTGGGCTTTGAAATTGAACTACATAGTGTGTGATTTAAGTGCCGTTGATTAACGTGGCTAATTTCGCTAACTTTCCGTGTAATTCAGAAATCAATTTCGTATCAATATACTTCGAATGGCAAGGCCCAGGTACAGTCTCGTCCTCCCAAAAGAATAATGTTTGATTTGACTTGATGCTGTTCTTCACTTCAGTCACTTCACATTCTGACAAACTCTCCTCACATCTAAAACACACTCCCGCCACTCATACTAAACATTTTTATTGATTACGTTATTTATTGCGAACCTCCCGAACGGAAAGTGTCGAAAGGGAAACGAGCGATAAAGGGAATACGGTGTGACCGATATTTAAGATCTCAGGAAACCAAAGAGTACTACATTGGATATATCATTAGTAATTTGATACCAATTCAGAATGAAAAGGAAAATTTAGTGAAGTTTTAAATTCTCGTGGCTCTCTTACTATTGGATGAAGGTAAATACTTTACATAGCAAAGGGAATAGCCAAATAATGCAGTGGAAAAGTCTCCCAAACCATCGCGATGCTCGTATGGAAGAAAATAAAAAGTGCTATAGGTGTCCACAAAATCAGCCTCTTAAGGCAATCTGTTGCAGAGATACAACGAGAAACGTGTTTTTTGTGTTTACTTCTTTCTCAGCTTCTTTGCAAGTAACAGTTTCAAAGAAATTCAAAGACTGGGAAAATAATTGAATTTGATAGTATTTTTGTCAAATAGTTTTGACGCCAAATTAAGAAAGAAAAAATAGCTAAATTTTTTAAATTGATTAGAACCTTAGAATACTGTTTCAGTCCCCCATAGAATGTGTCTTTTAACGTTCTATATCATATATTTTTTCAAATGTTTAAATGACGTGGACTAGGTTGGAAAAAATGAAAACCATTTTATTAGTTTAAAAATTTGAAATGCGCACCAATCTGTGATTAGATGAAAGTTGCCACCAATTTTTAAATAATTAATATTTAAATTATTGAAAAGTCTCATTTACCAGAACGATTTATAACTTTTTTGCTAACAAATGTTTGTTTTCATGGGGAAAGTATTTATAATATCGAAATAAAATCAACAAATATCTTTTTTTACATTTATATATTGTTTCTAATGTAAATCAAATTACTCAGTTGAAGATTTATTAATCATTGACAATTAGACAAACATAGACAATTAATCATTATCACTGACTTCTTCAATAAGAAAGATCACGTAGTGAGAAACATTTTAAAAATGGCACTAAGTGACAATAAGTGAAATAAAAGATGCAATATTAAAAATTGCTTATCTGTTTATTAAGATCCCTGCCAATATTACGACGCATAATGGTGCTTGATGCTCATTGGCTGAAGTCAGGTGTGCAAGAGCCAACCCACCTCTTTCCGCCATTCATATTCCGATTCGGTTTGGTACAAATTCGATGTAACACCTACACAATTTCAAGATCGTATGTCGTGATTGAATGTTTGTTTAAATATTGGTAAAAAAGTTTATTCCAATCACATTTTGGTGCAAATTTCAAATTTTTAAATTTTTTTTACTATCGTCCACATTGTTTAAAAATATTTAAAAAATGTATGTTATATAATATTATGAGACACATTCTAGGGAAAACGCTGAGACAGTACTGTAACGTTATCACGGCGAAAATCCATTTAAATTTGTTTCTATTTAAATTTGGCGTCAAAATTATTTGACAAATTACTATCAAATTCATCTATTTTCCCTCGTCTCTGGATTTTTTAGCAAGATACATACAATAGAAGATTAGAAAAAATAAAACATGGAAAAAATTATCGTCGTACGTCTGCAATAGATAGCTTTAGGAGGCTGATTTTGTGGGGATCTACGACATTTTTTTTAATTCTCTTTCATATGAGAATCGTGATTATCAATTTGGTTTGTGGGCACTTTTCACCGCCTTATTCGCCTATACTCTTTTTAAAAACTTGCATGAACTTTAAAATCGTACGTAACAATTTTTGCATATCAACCATTTAAAATTTATTACGCAAACACTAAAAAATTCCGATAAAATGTCATGGTTTTCTGGTTACCAAAATTTTTCCGAATACTTCAAAATGAAAAACATTCCAAATTATTCTTCATTTTATATTCCATGTATTGGATGCTATTATCAAATAATTCCTGTGATTTTCATATTAGCTCTAATGATGGTCGCTACGCGATCGAAAAGATCTTCAGAGTAAATGTATATTGATTCCTGACAATATCGTTTTCCTTAATTATTAGAAGGTAACTACTTTATCAGCGTTCTTATAAGTATTAATTGTAAGGTCTGTCTTCGAACAAGTGATTTCAATCAGAAAGTCGCTAGGTTGCAGTATACTACATAATTAAACGTTAGTTTATTCACCTCATAGGATTGGAAAATTACAAAGATATGGCTCATCAGTTGAACGTAATGATCGTACTCACCCTTCATGCAGTGCAAAGCGACGTCAAACCATCGCCTCTATGGACGAGGGAAGCATGAATCACCTTCATTCCAATGGTCGTTGTTCAGTACGGCTCGCATAATCAAATAGCCAATGCGTTAAGAGGAGAGCAAGGAGAACAAAATAGACATTTACATTACCAGAACCGGTCAAGCCGGTTGGTCAGTATTTTGGGTCCAGAGCAATGTTGAAAGGAAGACTCCGAAAAACTTGAAAGACTAAAGCAGCATCACTAAATTATGTGACTTATTTTATCTTCACAAATATGAAAAACTACAATGTTTACGCTAGAAAAAGTTTTTGGAAATATATTTTAAATAATAGTTTTAAGTAAAAGTATTTAGTGATCAAATAATACCATTGCCACCGTCAGCTTAAAACGCTAAAAACGATGTGTTTACTTAGTGTTTAATAAAAGCACTTGTTAAATACATGATATATTAAATATGGATTTCGGTGGAACTTATTTTAATGTTAGCGTCATTTGACTCATTTAATGTTAGCGTCATTTCATAGAGTACTATCTTAAAAGTAATGACTATATCTATTCAAGGTAAAAAATTGATTGAAAATTTCATGAAATATCAGACTACTGTACCGCGACTTACGATAACGATTTTCTCCAGTTCTTTCTTCTTCAATGTTTCTGATTTTGTTCCATCAGTCGCATCGCCAGTCACCCTGGACTTGCGGCGCCCGGGGCGTTCGTTTGTTCTGTCCAAGCGCATCGCCGGCACTGTACATTACTAGCACAAACAATTACTCTTTGGGTCACAAATGGCGACGAGAGGGGCAGAGCCCGGCATTTTCAAACGAATACCTTAAAGCTCATTGTCGTATAAGTTTTGTACTTTTTTTTTTGTCGAATGCAACGAAATATCTTTGAATTCTTTTCAAAATGCAAGCGCAGTCGTATTGATTCCTACCTCCAGCGTTTTGTTTCCTGTGCAGCACTTGTGTAACGAAGCCAACCGCTTTATAAAGCCGTATGCGTGTCACACAGAAAGACTTCCGAGTCAATTCGCAAGGAAGGAAAGTGTTAGTTTCCACGCACAAGTAATGAAAATATTTAAGTTTTTTTTTGTTGTATTTCGAGGATTTTGGACGATGTGAAGGTGTACTCGCGGATTTGGAGGTACATGACGCAAGAAAAGCGATACAGTCAAGTGTGCAGTGCAGTTAAGCGAAGTGGAGTGAAGTGAAGCAAGGCTTTCGCAGTGAAATTATGTACTATTTATTATTAATTATTGTGTGTAATCAACTAGTCTTTTGCAGATTGTTGTTAGTTAATGTAAGCTTAATGCATGTAAAGTGAATACTTTCTGCCACCAATGTACCACTCTTCATTGCCAACTTAAGCGTAAATGCGCGGCGCGGCTCCGGGCGCTGGCTGCTGCACGTCCGCCGGAAGGCGAGGCGGAGCCGGGCGTTTTTTGCGACGCGTGGCCTTTGCGTCTGCCGGCGGCTGCGCTCCTTCAGCGCCTCTGGGAGCGACGGACGCTTTCGAAAAAGGCCCTTCAAACGCTCCACGCTGCTCTTGTCCAGCAAGAGAGGCTTTAGTGTCTTACTTACCGGGCCGAGTTCTCGGATTTATGCTACACACTTTGTTATTTTACAAGAAATCATGTTAATGAAGGGAATTTTAAACACTTTTCCAATAACTATACCCCTTTTCAAAGTACACCGTATCTTATATTCTGAATCAAATGTTACGAAAACCAGTGATATCGTGTTTCTTTCGGTTATATTACATAATAATAACACAAACCTATTCAAAACCGAAGAACAATTCTTTGCTGTTGATACGTATACAATTGTTTACAATAAAGAAACAGTAAAGACTACAATATCGGATATTTCAAATTGCTTTAGTAATAACAAATTAAGTAGTAATTTAGTTATAGTAAAGTAGTAAGTAAGTAAGTAAGTAAAATAGTTTCAATGCAGTTTTCCATTTCAAATAAACAATTTTACACTCAATTGAATATAAACGTAAGTGTGATAATAAGGTAACAAAATTTTTAGGTCTCTCAATTCAGTTAAACTGCAAATGGAAGATCCATTTAAATAAATGGAACACAACATTAAGTTCATTATGGTACGCGTTCAGAATTCTTTCAAACCCAATCAGCCTCCATACTGCT